CAATGGACTATTATTTAGCTGCTAAGAATAATGAAATTATAAAATTCTAGGTAAATAGATGGATCTAGAAAATAAAATCCTGAGTAAAGTAACCAAGATCCAAAGAGACAAATAGTATGTATTTTCTTTTATGTGTGTGTGTCTTAGTTAATGTTCTATTGTTGTGAAGAGATGCCATGACAACAGCAACTCTTATAATGGAAAACATTTAATTGGGACTTGCTTGCAGGTTCAAAGGTTTAGTCCATTACCATCATGGTGGGAAGCATGGTGGCATGCAGGTAGACATGCAGGCGAGATAGCCAAAAGTTTAACATCCAGATTGGAAGGCAACAGGAAGAGTGATAGGCACTGGTCCTGACTTGAGCATTTGAACCTCAAAACTTACCTCCAGTGACACACTTCCTCCAACAAGGCCTCACTTCCTTATAGTGCTACTCCCTGGTGACCAAGCATTCAAACCTAAGATCCCATGGAGGCCATTCTTTTTTTTTTATAGGCAAGTTGAGGCCATTGACATTGAGGGATATTAATGACCATTGATTGGTGATCCTTGTTTGTGCTTGACTTATTGTTAGTGAAGTTATTTTGTGTAGTTTCTCCTCCCTTTTTCTTTTGGTGTTTTGTAAAGTGTGATTATATATTGCCTGTGTCTTTGGTATGTAGTTATCTTCCTTGGCTCTAGGTTTTCCTTCTAGCATTTTCTGTAGAGCTGGATTCATGGATACGTATTGTTTAAATCTGGCTTTGTCATGGAATATTTTGTTTTCTCCATCTATGGTAATTGAAAGCTTTGCTGGATATAGTAGTCTGGGCTGGCATCCTTGTTCCCTTAGCGTTTGTAGGACATCTGTCCAGGATCTTCTGGCTTTCATCGTTTCCATTGAGAAGTCAGGTGTAATTCGGATAGGTCTGCCTTTGTATGTTACTTGGCCTTTTTCTTTAGCTGCTCTTAATATTTTCTCTTTACTCTGTAGGTTTGATGTTTTGATTATTATATGGCGAGGTGACTTCTTTTTCTGGTCGAGCCTATTTGGTGTTCTGTAAGATTCTTGTACTTTCATAGGCATATCTTTCTTTAGGTTAGGGAGGTTTTCTTCTATGATTTTGTTGAATATGTTTTCTGTACCTTTAAGTTGAATTTCTTCGCCTTCTTCTATACCTATTATTCTCAGGTTTGGCTTCTTCACGGTGTCCCATATTTCCTGGATATTTTGTGTTAAGGATTTGTTGGTTTTGAGATTTTCTTTGGTTGACGACTCTATATCCTCTAATGAGTCTTCAACACCTGAGATTCTCTCTTCTATCTCTTGTATTCTATTGGTGATACTTGCATCTGTAGTTCCTGATCGTTTACCCAGCTTTTCCATTTCCAGCATCCCTTCATTCTGTGTTTTCTTTATTGTTTCTATTTCAGCTTTCAATCCTTCAACTGTTTGAGTTGTTTCCTTAATTTTTTTGGTTGTTCTTTCTTGGTGCTCTTTAGATTCTTTGAGAGATTGTTTATTTCTTGAATTTTCCCCCATTTCATGGATTTTTTTGTTTGTTTTTTCTTCTGTTTCTTTAAGGGATTTCCTCGTTTCTTCTTTGAGGGTCTCCATCATCTTCATGAAATAATTTTTAAGGTCTGTCTCCTCTTCTTCATCTATGTAGTGCTTTTCGGGTCTTGCTGGTGTTGGATCCCTGGATTCTGGTGGGGTCATGTGGTATTTCTATTGCTGAGTGATCTCTTATTCTGTCTTCTTCCCATCTCTTCTTTCAGTGGGTGCTGGTGGGGTCTTTCCGTCTCCACTGGTCTCCTTCCTTCCTGCAGCTGAAGCTGGGGATGCTGACACGGAGTTTGGGTCCTGGTAGGGCTGATGTCTTTCCTGAAGCTGGTCTCACTGGGGTTGGGGTCTTGGAATTGTTGACTTCTTTGCTGTGTGGGCAGGTCTCCTGAAGCTGTACTCGCTGGGGTTGGGGTCTTGGAAGGGCTGATGTCTTTCCTGAAGCTGGACTCGCTGGGGTTGGGGTCTTGGAGGGGCTGATGTCTTTCCTGTATGGGCTGGTCTTCTGGATGCCAGGAGCGGCCCCGAAGATCGCGGGGGATGGGGGACGGGTGGGCAGTACCCGCCGGAGACCCAATCTCACCTGAAGCTGGACTCGCTGGGGTTGGGGTCTTGGAGGGGCTGATGTCTTTCCTGTATGGGCGGGTCTTCTGGATGCCGGGAGCGGCCCCCGAAGATCAAGGGGGATGGGTGATGGGCGGGCGGTCCCTGCCGGAGACCCAATCTCACCTGAAGCTGGACTCGCTGGGGTTGGGGTCTTGGAGGGGCTGAAACCTTAGATGAGATAACAGGCAGCCTTACATTTCCACACTTCTCAAATTAGTGAGAATCAGAAGAGCAGGAAGTGGGGTCCCAGCATTCAAGCAAGTCATGCTCTTGGTCATCACCTTCCTGATAACATCAGAAGGAAAGGGTGTCACAGCAGAAGTGCTGGGGCTGGGTCACACGGACCTGGACTCAAATCTGACTCCGTGGCCAGGACCTGGACATCAACACATTCTGGCTAAGCTGTTTAGCTAGAAAATCCATGGAGGCCATTCTTATTCAAACCAAAATGTAGATGTTAACTTTCAAGTTTTCTCATGTGTATGATAATCTCAGTAACCACAGAGTACATAGTAAGGACTAGGGAAGAAAAGATCTTCAGAAGAAGGGAAAATAGCATATATTGTTATGGATAGACAAAAGGAAAACTTTAATAGGAGGATTAAAGAGAGAAAGTGATGAGAGATGAGAGTGAAAGACAAAGGAGGCATTATGAGGAAAGACAACCAACACTAAAGGTCATTTGAAAAACCATATGGAACCCTACTACTATAAAGGCTCCCCAAAACACTCACTCACACACACACACACACACACACACACACACATCTATATGAAAGGAGTCTAAATGGAGTCACCAAATAATAGGGAGACAATGTCCCAACTAGACATCTCATGCCACCAAGGAAAACTTCCAGTGTCAAGAAGGGGTTACATTTTGTTGAGTTATTGGCAAAGGGATCCCATGGAAACCCCTAAACATCACAGACTATTGCCAAGGTTATTGGTTACTCTCTACAACCTGATGGTAAGACCCTATTTATTACTGAAGGCTATACTTACATATGTCAGTGAATATGGAGAAGTCAAAGTGGTGCCTAACTAGAAGGCTCACTTCTATGGATTAGCAGTCATAGTACTATAAGGTTCTCTGAATGTTAACCAAGGAGAAAGGCAATCATCAATAGCTCCCAGATACAAATCCTGTTATCTGTGAAAATGACCTGCCTGTAAGATGTACTGGTATAACAAAGACATAAATATTAAGGGAGTAATCAACTACTTTCTGGTTGGATTTAAGGACCACTCCATGAGATGGAACCCATACCCAAGAACACTAGGTAGGACATGGGAGTAGGGAAAACCTATTTTTTTCTGCTAAAGGAACATAGCAATAAAATTTTGCCTACTGACATACTGCTAAACCCATAGGTCAGTTCCTTGCTCAGTTGTTATCATCATAGAAGCTACTTATTGCAACAGATAGGAATTAGCATAGAGGCCCACAACTGGTCGATGTGCAGAGAGTGAGAGACTTTGGAGCTCTCAGTCCTAAATGGGATGTTTTCATCTCTTACCCTAGGATCAGGGAACTATGTGGAAAAGGTGGAAAGACTGTAAGATCCAGAGGGGAGGGGAGGGATGTCTCTAAGAAGACTGTCTTCCAGACACAAAAGGATTGATGCACATACGAACTCACCAATACTGTGTCAGCATGCACAAGACATGTATAGACTCAAGTCAGACAAGGTCCCAGCACTGAGAGCAGGAGGGGACACAAGCTCCTACCCCTAACCAAGAAGCTATCTGAAATTTATACTCACCAGTGTAGGAAAAGTAAGTTTTTGCCAATGGAGTCGCATTGAGTGTATTAGACACACTTTGGGGTAGGCCCCAGGTCCAGGAGTAGTTGGCCAACACAAACTCAGTGGTATCTTTGTTGACTTTTGATCTCATTTTGATTTGTTTAGACATTTTTTGTCTCATTGGTCTTTTGCTTGTTTATTTTGATTTCTGCTCTTGTGCTTTTTGGGTTTTGTGTGTGTGTGTGTGTGTGTGTGTGTGTGTGTGTATGTGTGTGTGTGTGTATGTGTGTGTGTGTATGTGTGTATGTGTGTGTGTGTATGTGTGTGTGTGTGTGTGTGAGTGTGTGTGTGTGAGGGTGTGTGTGTGTGCGTATGTGTGTGTGTGTGTGTGTGTGTTTCTTGGGTGGTTTTTTTTTTGTATTCTTGTTTGTTTTAAAATGAAAGAGAGAGGAAAAATAGCCTAAAGTTGCATGAGTAGAGAAAATCTTGGAGAAATGGGGACTGGAGGCAAACATGATAAAAATATATTGTATGAAAATTTTCTTTTCAATTAAAAAAAAAAAGAATCCACTTTGGCAGAAGCAAAGATAAAAACAACAGCTTCCCAGTACACCCATTGCATCTTTTACTGTATGCTCTGGCAATCAAAGGACGTTTCACTGCATGCTTGAGCAATTAAAGCATAGTTTCTGTTCTCTTGCCACCATGATTGTTTAGGGCAATGTCTGAGAAGCATGGGGTCTCTTAACCTAGACCAAGATTGACAATGGTGCTTTCCACTAAATATTTTACTACAATATTCAAATAGGATAAATTCTATATGGTGAAACGTATTTGTTTCATTCCCATAGTTATCTTCTTATCTTTCTAAATCATGTTGTTTCACCTCTTCTCTAAACCATATCTTGAATAGCTGCTTCTGTGCTCACACAATACACAGACTTTACAACACTTAGCATTTCCATTTGTGTTTAGTGATCTCCAGGCTCCAAGCTACGTACAGAGAAATAAAATCTGCAACGACGACTTCTTAATGAATGAATAAGGAACTGACAGATGATAAAAATACATGTAGAGAGAACTGTGAAGCACAGCCACTCACCTGTCTGATAAATGGCCACCTATGATATGTCCTAAAAAAATGCCAGACATGAATGTAAATTTAGCCACTGAATTCAGTGCCTGAGATTCACATACCAGGTCCCACTGAAAGAGAAGAAAAGCAGCATGACAGCCTATGGTGTAACTTGTTCAAAATTCTTCAACACGAGCTTCCAGTTATACTGTGCCAGCCCTGACCTTCCTCTACAGTTTCCATTTTCATCACCTGACTTCTACCATCAAGTCTCAGCTTAAACAAACCTGATTCTGGGAATCTTCCTGTAATTCTGTAGGTCATATTAGTGACTTGTAAATTGTGCTAAGAAGTTCTCAAATGTCTAGGCAAAGGTGGGGCATAGCTTTAATTCCAGCACTTTGGAGGCAGAGGCAGGTACATAGCTAAGTTTGAGGCCAGACTGGTTTACAGAGTGAGTTCCAGGATAGCCAGGGCTGCACAGAGAAATCCTGTCTCAAACTCCCATCCACCCTCAAAAGAAGTTTTCAAATGTGACCTTATAATGCAATGATTTGAGACCATTGAAGAATTTGCTGGATCTTGTGTGTCAACGTCAATTTCCCATATGACTACTTCAGGTGTGGAAACTGGGAACTGACTTTATTTATCTATCTATCTATCTATATATATATATATATATTTAATCTATCTATCTACCATCTATCTGTCTGTCTGTCTGTCTATCTATCTATCTATATTTTTGGCAACATTGCTGATGAACTGTAGGGCTTTTAACATTTGGAAAATGTGCTAGCCATTAGTCACATTCTAGTCATAAAAGAAGGTAACATTTTTTGAGGGGATAGTTTTAGAGTTTGAATCCTCGACCTTGCATGTGCTACATAATTGCTCTAGCACTGAGCCACATTTCTAGCCAACCACTGCAGTTTTGTACAGTCTTCCAGATATCTTAAATTTGAAATTAAAGCTAAATGATACTGACTTGCCATGTTTGTGAGATTCCACATGAATTATTTGCTTAAACTGACTTGGCACAAAAATTACTTCTTAAACAGTGGTCATCTCTATAATAAAAGAACAAGGAGAATAAATTCTTAACATTTTCAAAGTGAACACTAGATGCATTAAATAATAAATACAGAAATAATTACAGTGCTAAAAGTAAAGTCCATTCTCAAAACATGTGCAATACTTAAGCTCCCAGCAAAGCTCCATCACAAACTCTTGGTGTGGAAGGGAACTGACTGACCTGGGACACAGTGGTGGAGAGGAAGGTGCTTCTGTCATACACCCAGCCGTCCACACAGGGCTCTGTGTCTGGCCCTGTCGCACTGGAGAAGGTGCCATTCAGATGAAGGAGATGCCACTGTGGCTGGGTGAAGCGACGGCACCTGTCTGGCCTCAGGTTGGAGTCCAGTGGGATGGAGATCCTCAGGAGGTCATCTCGGCTCAGGATCCCACTGTCATTGTCAGAGACAGTGTCATTGTCGAGGATGGGGACCCAGCAGCGGTGACTGGGTATGGCTGCAGTGAAGTTCTCCAAAAGAGTGTGAGGAATCACAAAGCCATTGCAGATAAGAATGAAAGCCATCTGAAGTAACTGGAACCTCCCCAGGCTGCCAATGTGAATAAAAAGGTCCTGAAAGGCCATCTAGGCTGAAACCCTATCTCCAATGGGAGGCAAAAATGATTATATCAAAGTTTCTAAAAGTTCTTTTTCACTAAGACACTGAAGAGGTTAGTCCTGAGCTCTTCTTCTGTGGCCCTCTTCTGAGTCAGAGTTAGGTGGGGCCCAAGAGGCATAGTTTGATGATTTGCCCTAAGTAATTGAATCTGTTAATGATCCACTGTGTGAGAAATTTTGTCAGTGTGCTGCCCCTGTCAGCTGTGGACCCTGATCTGCACATTCTCTGAAACACAGTTAACTTACTATTTCATGCAGTCCTTTACAGAATATGTAATTTCCCAGAATCCAAAGTAAAGTGGTTTTCATTTTTCTGCATGGGAGTAAACATTTTGTTTAGTATTGAGTTTGTGTAAAAGAGTTAGTGAAAACCATTAGACGTTAAAATTTGGAAGTGAAGTGTGGTGGTCCATGTCCTCACTACAGCCAGGGACTGCATCATTGCCTGAGGTTCCTATTAGTACCGAGGGCTATGTAAATGCCCGCAGTCTGGTCAGCCACCTGAGACCATGGCATAGGCATATGAGAGCTGGCCCTGCCCCTCATCCGCCGGGGCGGTCCCAGCATCCCAGAATGATGAGCTCAGCTACCATCCAGGCCCACGTCCTCAGCTTTGGGTTGGTGTACCCTAACACCTTCCCCTTTTATGACCCAGAGCACATGAAGGGACTGGATCTACAGAACCATGGCTGCAGGATCTCCATGACTTGAGGCAATAGTAGGATATCCAAGAGTCTTCGTGAGGGTCCAGTGATGATGGTGTCCCAGAGGCCAGAGGCCTTAAATAAGACTAATGACTCATTGCAATGAATATTTATGGATGGGGCTGATTAGACAAAAGAATATACTGAGTCTTAGCTAGGGTTTCTGTTGTTGTGAAGAGACACCATGACCAAGGCAGCTCTTATAAAGGAAAGCATTTACTTGAGGAGGGGGCTTACATTTTCGGAAATTATCATCATGGTGTGACACGGTGGCCTGAAGGCAGGCGTGGTACTGGAGGAGCTGCTACATTTTGATATGCATGCAACAGAGTGTGTGTAGTGGCATCTTGTTCGCCAGTGGACTTGTGGTGGTGGCTGCATCCTAGGGGTGTGGCTTCAGGTGTGCACATGTGACCCTTATAAGGAAGAGTAGGAGTTGACTCGCTCTCTTGGACAGCAGTCAGGGATCTGGAAAGGCAGCGACTGCATCTTCAGGAGCAGGAAGACCATGGCGGTTATTTACCATTAATTGTGTAAGTGCTTCCCTAATAAATACCTGTTAATCATTTATCTGGGTCTTGTGGACTCATTTAAACCCACCTTAATTGGCACCCCACTTAGTTTGAGTCCCACGTTCAGCCCTGCCAACTTGGCTGCTTTCTCTTGGTCAGACGGCCCATCTTAGTTTTATGTCACACATTTAGTGCAACTTCCCCCGCCCCCTGCCCAGAGCAGTGTGCACTCCCGTGCCACTGAGGCTCCTGGCAACCCGCCTGCGTGGCCCATTGCACTCCCCCCTTAATTCCCAGAGCTGCCAAGAGTTTTCTTTCTGCTCCCACGTGCCTCTTTTGCGCAGTCCAGCGCAGTGCCATGTCTAGAGCCGTCTCTTGGCTTTCAGGGACCCACCATTGGGCACACCCCTCCATAACTGAAGCTCCAACCAAGTATGGCTGCCTAGCTCTGCTGGCCCTTCAGCACCTGCTGCACGTGCAGGTTGCTTCCATTCCTTTCTCCGTAATAAAAATTCATTCAGTTTGGGGTTTGTGGTGTATTGTTTAGAAATTACAGATTGTAGTACATCAGAGACAAATCAGACCAGAGTGCCTTTGCCCTTTGATTTGCTTTGGTGGTATACCTATGACACCTGCTGGCCAGACATAGTTATTGCAACTTAAGGTCAACAAGCAAACCAGCAAACACAGACCTCAGTCTTCCCGGATTTTACTTGAGGTAAATTACTGGATATTTTGCAATTTAAGTTAACAGACAGACAGACAGACAGACAGACAGACAGACAGACAGACAGACAGACAGACAGACAGACAAAATTAGCTACTTCACACCAATGGCAGATAATATTACTACACAAGAATTTAAATTTTTTTCGTTTCTGCTATGGATTGACTTTTAGAAGAGGTATACGACTAAGATTAATGACATGCTTTCAGATAGAACATTGTTTCTGGAATACAATCTACATGCCATATAAATAATCTCTAAAGATGAGAATATTAAATCTCTAGAATCATATGTAAATAAGAAGAACAAGAAACTTACTGAGTTAATGAAATCTTTGGAAGTTTTTTACTGTCCAGGAAGTTCAAATACTCCAAGAAACAATGATGAATAGACTACAGGCCATAGAAGGCCTTCTTAAAAATGATACACCAGCCGGGCGGTGGTGGCGCACTCCTTTAATCTCAGCACTCGGGAGGCAGAGGCAGGCGGATCTCTGTGAGTTCGAGGCTGGGCTGGTCCGACAGTCTCCAAAGCAATACAGAGAAACCCTGTCTCATAAAACCAAAAAAAAAAGATACACCAGGAGTTAAGATACAAATTAAAGAGAATAAAAAAGATTTAACATCACCAGTACCTTTCAGAGTCAGAGATGACTTATCAAAGGTTGTATCATCATCATCACCTGCTATAATCTATCCTGTTACTACTTCTGAAAAGCCAGCAAATATTGAATGCCAGGAGGCTATACTGAATGTAAATGGAGCCGATACATATGAAACAATTAAAAGCTACTAAGGAAACAGTAGTTTCCTTATGGCATGCATTCGCCATATATGAGGCAGTTAGTAAAGGCATGGGCTACAAGAAATAGAATAGCTCCCAATGACTGGCTCCAATTACTCTGCAGTTCTAGAACTTGGGCCACAGCTGCAGTGGAAGTCATTTTGGAGGGAAGAGGCCAAAGCCCTTGAACATCAAGGATATGAGGCTTCCCAAGATGAGATTCTTGGAGAATCCCATTATGTTGATGCAGAAATTCAAGCTACATACAATGAACATACCTTGTCCCTATGCTGTACAGCAGCCTTGAATGCTTGAGACAAGATTCAAGAATGAGGGAAAAGAATTTAGTCATATACTAAGGTTATACAAAGCTCAAAAGAACCCTTTAGTGATCTTTTTGCAAAGACTGACCAAAGCCGTAGAAATAGGGATAGCAGATCCAGAAGCTAGACAAGTACTCATTTAGTCTCTGGCTTTTGAAAATGCTAATTTAGAAAGTAGAAGGGTGCTTGGGCCTTTAAAGAAAAGATCAGCACCAATGGATGAATAGATCCTGCACACGACCAGTGTTGAGTCTTTTGACTATAACACTGATGTTTGGGTAGGAGAAGCAATTTCCAAAGGTGTAAGCAGACATCAAAATACCAACTTTTTAATTGTAGTAGAATAGGCCATTATTAAAACTTAAATCACACATAAAACCACACACACTTATAGTGGGAGACTTCAACACCCGGCTCTTACCACTGGACATGACTACCAGACAGAAACTTAATAGAGAAATAAAGGAGCTAACCAAATTATGACTCAATTGGGTTTAACAGATATCTATAGAACATTCCATCCAAACACAAAAGAATATACCTTCTCAGCACCACATGGAAACTTCTCTAAAATTTACCACATACTCAGTAACAAAGTAAACTTCAACAGATACAACAAAATCAGAATAACTTCCTATGTCTTACTGAATCACCATAGTCTAAAGTTAGATTTCAACAGCAACACAAATTGTAATAATCCTACAAACTCATGGAAATTGAACAATGCTCAATTGCATCACCCCTGGGTCAAGGAAGAAATAGCGAAAAAAAATTAAAGACTTCCTAGAATTCAATGAAAATGAATGCACAAATTCCCCAAATTATAGGACTCTGAAAGCAGTGCTAAGGGGAAAGTTCATAGCACTGCAGCTCTGGTTCTTCAGAACCAGTTCCTTCACACACTGTAGGAGCTCATAAATGGTCGTAGATATTGGGATGGACTGACTCAAAGCCCCGAATCTAAGCCCTGATGGTAGCTTAGTTAGTGCTGGTGAGCCCTGTGTCTTCTGCCACCACTGACTGGGATTTGCTATGTTCTTAGTATCCACTGTCTCCTTCAAATCCACTGTTGTTCTTGAAGGCCATGGGCCAAAGGAGCCAAGAGGAATCCATAATGTTTTAGTGGATACACCTGAGTTTTCTTCAGGAGGAATAAAAATAGGGCAAGTTGATGCATCAGTTTGCTTATTTCCTTCTACAACAAACTCAGGAAAGTTAGTGTATGTCTAGTATTAGTCTGTTGCTGGAAATAATCCTACAACACAAGCAAAGCCTGAAACAATATTTAATGGTTTATTAATTAACTGTAATAGATGAATCAAAACTACCAGTTCTACTTGTTGGAGTGAGGAAAATATATTAATAGATTGATAAATATCTGGACCATGAATTTCCTTCTGTTCTCTTAGATGCCTGTGGCATGGAAGATTTTTGGACAATTTTTGTTATTACAAATTCAGTTTGTGTGAGAAAATCCCATAGCTTACCAGCTGGATAATGGCTTCCTATGCTTTTATGGAAATCTTCAAATGGAATTTGAAAATCCATAGAGTTTTGTGTCACTCTTAAAAACTGATTTTTAGATCCAGGCCTGCCTTCCAGTGCCTGGGGACTGCTCCAGAGCCTCCCCTCCCGGCAGGAGCCACGCACCCCAGATACCTGGCCTTCTCTTCCACCAATGGGACCAGGGGACCAGGTAAACCAGGCCCTGTATCCAGGCCTGCCTTCCAGTACCTGGGGACTGCTACAGAGCCTCCCGTCCTAGTGGGAGCCACGCACCCCAGATTCTGGGTCATCTCTTCCACCAACTGGACCAGGTACACCAGGCCCTGTAACCTGGCCTGCCTTCCAGTTCCTGGGGACTGCTACAGAGCCTCCCCTCCTGATGGCACACCCCAGATTCCTGGTCATCTCTTCC